TATTGATTTCCTAATTATTTTTCATAATCTAACTGCAGCTCATGATTTATGCTTCTGACTGATGAAAAATGTAGGAGCAACAGGAATGAATGATCTGTATCTGTACGCTCTGGAGCTGGCTGGGGGTTTAGTTTTGCGTGTTTTGTGACCTCCATCTGGTCGGCTTTCCGTATCGTATGTACTGCTTTTTTGTCTTTGGTCATACCACATCTTTTAAAATCCTCATTTGCTTCAAGTTAATTTCTGTAAACGAACTGGTTTTTCTTTGGTTCAGGAGTGAGGATGTGCAGTAAATATTTAAGGGAGCAGCTTTTGCTGGTTTCATTCAGTAGTCTGTCTCGACCTTTATTTCCCAGAGCACTTCCACTAAACCAGCAGCTGCCACCTTGTCTGCGGCATCCGGGGACCTTGATCTATTCACTGAGCAAACACCAAAATCCGAAGAGTCAGCAAAGAAGCAGCTCTCCAAAGACTCCATCTTATCACTGTATGGCACAGGAACCATGCAGCAGCAAAACGCTCCAGGTAAAGAGTTTTGTAAAGGTTTCTCTGCAGTCCTAGTTTAAGCTTTACCTAGAAGTTACCTTCTACAAGTAGAAAACTAAGGTTGGGTACCCTGCTACCTATATTCAAATGAAGATTTTTATTTTTACCATTTATAAAAATGAGAAAATTACTGAAATGCAATACAGAAGCTGTATGTGATTTTAATTTATTTATAGCTGTTCAAATTACAAAGTATACAGTTTACTGAAAGATTTGTGAATTCAGCTTCTGCCGTCTAATTCATCGCTTGAGGTGGGAGTCTCCACTGTGCAAGCAGCGGGCTGCCAGGATGGGCAGGGAGCCGTCATACCTTCATTTCAGCTCTGTTTGTATGAGAACAAAGGCCTCCGATACAGCGATTACAAGATCCTGGTTCACCGCAGGGATTTGCCAAACTCTTTTTGGCAGTTAACCTCTGGTGGTGAGCCCCCCTCCTTTGAGAGATTTTAAACAGTTTTTTACTGTTACCAGAAACTGAATTAACAGCACTGATGTACAACTGGACAAAGTTATCCTTTAAAATTATTTTGGTGCACTTCTGACTGATGGGGATGGGGGAGGAAATCACAAAACGCTTTTGCTGAGATCTTCCCTTCTCTGGTACAGGTATGTTCATGGGGTCGTCTTCTATGCCCTTTACCACACAACCATCAACTCATTTTCAAGGCTTTCCAGCCATGGGAGTTCCTGTGCCTGCAGCAACTGGGATGATGGGAAACATGATGGGACAATCGGTGCCAGTCATGGGACAGAGCACAGGCGTGATGGTAGGAATGGGAATGCCCAATGGATTTACTGGTACTGCACAAACTGGTGTGATGGGACTGCCTCAAAATGTCGTCGGACCTCAAAGTGGAATGGTGGGACAGATGGTCACGCCGCAAAATAAGTACGGATTGCAACAAAACCAACAAGCTCAATGGAACCTCTCTCAGGTAAAGACTTGCTATTCCCAGACAAGAGGGCTTTAGAAAAGATGCTGCTTTTCTGATACAAAATGTTTGTATCAGAAATGTTTGTATCATCAGAAATGTTTGTTCCTGTAGGAGGAAAGTTGTGGTGTAGCTGAGTGACAGACCGCTGGACTGTGAACTGCTCAGAGGCACGTGGAAAAAAACCAGTGAATAATTCAATTAGAGATAAGTAATAAATAAGCAGAGAATTAACTGTGCCAAGGTAGACCAAACTCAGTTCTCTGCTTCTGTTGCTGCTCTCATCCTGGCATCTGAACTAGCCAGGTAAAAAGCTAGCTTAGCTATAGTTACAAAATACTGAAATGTACACGCAGCCGCATAACTAAAAGCAGAATTTAATTGCTTGAGGATAGCCGTTAACAATTAATACTTTCATTGACAGACTTCAGGATACATTTCAGTGGAAGGTGCAGTGCTTTGCACTCTAACATTCTCCTGTAGATCATTTGCTTAGGCTAATCCGTTTATCTGTAGCGGTTCCGTGTTCTTTTTTTAAATTTCTAAAACACGTTTAAAAGGTTCTCTAAAGGCGTTAGTGTACGCTTAGTACTACATTTGTACATTATCCAATGAAACATCTTGAAATCAGGTATTTGAGAGGTTATTGGGGGGGCGGGGACCAGACCTAAATGGTTCCCTTGGCGGTCAGTATGGGCGACAGCAACTTTTTTTTTCATACTCGTGTTTGAATTACAAGAACAGTAGAACAGTTCCGTGCTGCCCACTCTAGCGATTCAGGAAGTGAACCTTAGTGACTTGTTTAGATTGGATTGTACGGATTTTTACTGCTCTGCTCAGTGCTGTGGTGCGAACGGTTATGAAGGTGAGCAGCATTTCTTACATGGGTAAAACAGCCCCTTTTTGAAAATACAGGCTGTCATTCTGCTTTGAAAAGTAATTTATAAAAGGTGAGAATTTCAAAACGTCAAACCAAAAAAATCTGTGGATTTACTGCTAACAGTCGTCTTCTAGGTACCTGACTTTAAAAAGACCTCTATCGGCTTTGAAATTAAAATCATGCTTCTTATCAAACACGTATTAAAAGTTGGCTCACAGAGCCAGCTCTGAACGCGTTTCCGTACTCCTTGCACATCAGACGTTATCAGTACGCTGACGTTCCGCAGTTTGTAGGGAACTCTGATCTCATCTCTGGCTCCGGCTGAAAGGGGGAGAGCTCGCTTTACTTACCAGAATAGCATGCTTTATATAGTCTGCTGCTTAAGAATTCTACTCCAGAAGAGACCAGCAACTAGGTAAAGCATGTTTCCATCAGCTTTTTTTAAATTTCCACATTCAGCGATGGGTTGTTTTTGCAGACGTGCATGTGAACGCACACAGTACTGAATTTTACCCTAAAATATTAGTTTGCAATTTACTTAACCATTTTTTTCACCAGTGTTTCAGTTGCGTTTTGCAACCAGTATGCGCTCATGTTTACATGACCTCTGATTTTTACCTAATGCTGTCTCTAACTTGAAGCTAGCGTTGCTTATCCGACATCCCTATTCATTGGCTCCCACTATTAATTGCTCCAAATGCTCTCTTGCTCTCAGACTCGAGAGGGGACATCCTTACTCTGGCTACACAGCTAGGTTTTTGGCTTGTCAGTAAGAGTTCGTTTTTTAGAAGCTAAGGGAGAGTAACCTGAAGAACATTTTTCCATTGAGCACTGACAATTACAGTGACTGCATAATATTCGTAGAGAGCAGAAATATTTTTGCACCATTCCTGAAGTGAACATGCTGAATTTTGAACTCTCTCCCACCTTTAACTAGAGGTCGTCTGTAATTTCAGGTGAACGATGTCGCTGGTTTCTAAGAAATGATGGTATCTTGAGTAGATTCTTTAGCAAGAATGGTTAGCTTTAGATAATACTCAAGTTTATAAATCGGCCTCATTCTTTGTTGATTGCCACCTAAACGGACAATTTCTATAAGAACTTGTGTATTCAAGATTCTGAGGTCATCTGGAGTTGCAAACGTAGACAAGGCTGCGTGACTTGCTTTGGTGTTTCTTTATCGCAGTTGCCACGGTTTTGTTGCTTAGCTCGGCCACTTTGAAAGCAAGCTCTTATCAACTGTGACACGTCGGGCGCCTTTGTCACGCGCTCTGTAAATTCACTAGCGGAGTGTTTATACAGACTTGACATTGGCTCAGCGGATGTGTAATGGTGATTGGATGGTTCCAGGAAAGCTGGAAAATGCTTAGAAACTTAGGAGTCAGTATTTTTATTCAACGAGAAATATTAATTTTAGGGGAACGTACTTTAACGGGGTTGCTAGTCGGAGGCATGACTGCTTCTTGGCTAGCAGCGTGCTGTGTGTCAGCGGCGGCGCTAACTGGGCTCGTGTGTACGCTCCACAGATGAATCAGCAAATGGCTGGAATGAATCTCAGCAGTTCCAGCACCGCCATGGGCTTTGGCCAGCCCCCCAGCACAGCGGCAGGATGGACTGGCAGCTCCTCTGGTCAGACTCTCAGCACACAACTGTGGAAATGAAAGTTGCAACGGCAGTCTCGCCCCGAACAGCCACCTAACATTCCTTGTTCAAATGCATTTACTTCCGCTGTTCCTTCCATGTACATATTCTTTTTCTTTCTCCCCAGCTGTTCAGATTAAGAATATAACTGACTGACCGTGTTGTGGTCTATATTGATTTAAATTTGATGTAGTGACAAGCAGATCAAGAATACATTTATACATCATCGGCAGCGTTTTCATACAATGCATATGATTTCATAGACCGTATATTTAAGAAGCTGCTTAACCACATACTGATTTTTTTTCCCTCAAAATTCTAGATCAAATATTTGCATATAAGGGATGTAGCTATCATGTTAGTAATATCCAAAAATACGAACCCTGACCCCCCAAAACTACCCAGTAATCCTGTAGAAGGTACTGTATGAACAAATGTTTAATCATATATAAATAGAATGTAAATGTATCACTGAGCAATGTTTTCTAGTGTATCAAACAAATTTTGTTTCATCATACATTTCACTGTGATGTTATTATGGTGTGCATAACAGGGAATGTGGTTATTGAAAGAAAGATAAACCTGGATGTTGCTGTAGTTCTACAAATCAATAGTTTATTCTTTTAAAAATGAGCATTTGATCCATTTGAGTTTCCTGTGATAAAGTATCCAATCCGGCTCACGAGGCACGCACACAGTATTAACGCCGGGAACTAGCGGCACAATATGCATACAAGGTAACTCAATGTGAACAGATCTATTTTTCCTTGCAGAGATATCCAGGTTTATGACAGTGATTGTGTTTACATTTTATGGTGCCTCGTAATGATAAAATGTTATTTCCCTATATTAAAAGGATAAATCCATAAATGATCGTGGGTTTTTATTTCATTATTGTGTGACCTACTTGACTGCTGTTTCTTCAAGAAGTCTACTTTTGATGAAGGAAAACATGTTCAATTTGGAGGATCCATTTACGCAAATATTTATATCAACAGTTCGTGATTTAAAATCAGTTTATAATTACACCATTAAGCTGGATAAATACAAAAAGTATATACATAAATGATGATTTTGAAAATACTCCATTGCAGCCATGTGTCTCTTGATTGCTTTTACTATGTGGAGCCAGCCTTAAAACAAAGGTAAGTGTCAGTTTATTAAGACGAGAGGTCAGAAACGCATGCAAACAAGTTAGAACAAAGCACACCCACTTGATTTGCTTATTAGAGGATCTGACAGCTTCCTTTTGTTTCCACAGAAGTCCGTCAGATGACTATTGAAAGGTCTGACGCAGAAGTAGACTATTTAACTGGCTGAATTTGAACACCTTCTGACACGTCCGTTGCACTGTACTCCTGTGTGACTCTGTCTCCACCTCATACCTCAATATTGACTGTGTCCAGGTGGTATTTTGGCTCATTAGCTAGATTGACTTTTTCTGTTCGTGTGTGCCATACAAGAACCTATAAAATAACATTTGTGTTAGTACAGTCGTCGGCAGAGATGAGACGAAAGCTTTTTAGTGAGCGTGGAAATCAGTACCTTGGTGCAGTTGTTTGCTTTTGGCTCCAGTTCCTCCACTGTTGTTATCTGTTTCAGAAAATCAGATTCTTGCATTCCTGGTTGAGAACCACGACGCTTGAATACGGCTTTCGGATGCGACAGAATCACTTGAAGACTCACAGCAAATCCTTGGAGAGAGGGGGGCGGGGAAAAAGGTTAAGAAAAACCTTTAAGCTTTACATTTTTGTGCAAGTTACACTTAAGCCTAGAGATCTCCCATGTTCTTTTTAAAAAATGTGTAAATTTGATTATATGGATAGACAATATTGGGTAGGTTTGTACATCCTGCATGGTTTTGTTTTGCCCTGAAGGTGCAATCAGATTTTTTTAATTGCACCATATTTTCAACATGTTTATTCAATTTCCTGTCATGCAGAGAATATACGCGTTTTTTGCCTGAAAAGTCAGGCATTGCTAGGATCTCGGACTATCCCTCCTTTCTACTTCTAATTAAGAAATAAAACTGAATTTTAAGTAAAACAAAATGTACGAAATTTATACTGTACTAACACTTCTAGGTTTAAAGATGAGAATCAGAAAGAAAGGTTAAAATATATTACTTCTAACAACTGTGATCTTTAGAGATTTTTAGCCTTTAGAGAGTTTTAACATTATTGTTGCTGAAAGACAAGCCGTATTCATGTTTTGCCTTGCACACCGTGTAGTTATTGTGAATCATTTTCATCAACGGTGTCTGCAAGGCAGCCTGCAGCTCATCTGTGCATGGCACAGCACGACTGAAAGAACCTCATCAGTGCACGTGCCTCTCTTTGCAACGCGCTCCTCTAATAACATACATTGGGTCGCTCAAAGGGAGATTACAAACTGAGAAATCACTGGTTTGAACGAACTTGCCCCCTCTGAAGCAGCTGTCATGAATTTCCCATTTGCCATTATTCATAGACCTCTCCAGTTTTCATTCAGCAAGGTTCAGTCGCATGTATGCTTCTTTACTCCGCTGATAGACTTGTGAAGAAAAATTACATTTGTAACTCCTTATGTCTTATTGCCAAGCCTACCACAGAAATCTTTTTTTGTCAGTCAGAGTGGTTCCAGCTGTCCCTTTATGACAGAAGTAGTAACAGTTTTGACATCTGTTCTGGAAAACTGCAAGAACATTTAATTCCTAAGCCAGTATTAAAATTTTCTCATTTTTAAATTCTAATGGAATAAAAATCTGTCCCCTTTTTTACTAGAATTATCTTGCTACTGTATTTTCCTTGCAAGTATCTGTGGCTTTTATCGGAGCCTTTTAAAGAGGAAAATATAAGGAAGTAATTCCTACATCACATGTAAAGAAGGCACACCGATACCAGTTATCTTAACTATCATGCTCTTGCTCATAGCAAAGCACAGGAAGACACCAAAAAGTGATTTTTTTTTTTTTTTTAAATAGAGATTTGGACACTGCACATAAAGACTATGGGTTGGGTGTAAACTGAGGTTCCCAATTCACTGACAGACACAGCTGAAGAAAACATGTTTAACTTTATACATGACATCCTGCTTAAGATAAAGAAGAATATGTGCCTAGATGGAAGGGGCTCATCCACACCTTGCAGAGTACTCCAGTGAGTAAGAGACTTCCAGGAGGTGTGAGACGTTGGCTGCAGCCTGTCCTCACTCTGTGCGGTGAAGCTCTGCAGCTCCCGCTCTGCAGGCTGCGCCACCTGCTAGCAGCAGCGCTGGGATCCAGCTGTTCTCTGCTGCAGCTGCGGGGTTTGGGCAGGCGGAACCAGGCAAAAGAATGGCCCTTTGGACTTTGCTTCCCAGGGAAGGATTTGCCTCCAGCAGGCTACAGGCCTTTCTTGCTGCCTGCGACTTGCCGCCTGGCTACGAGGGAGCAGAAGGTGGGCCCCGTCCCAGCGCTGTTTGTGGCCAAGTGTAAGCGTTTGTGAAGGGCCAAGGCTGAGGGTTTAAACTCCCGCAGCAAGAGACAGCTGCAGTGCACACAGCCAGCTTTCTGCACCCTGAAAGATGACCGTAGATTTATCACTGATGAACAAATTGGCCTGGTTCAGTTCACTATTTTTGATTAGGCGGGGGTTTTTTTCCTAAATTAGAACAAACAATACAAATTTTTGGTGCAACTGGGCTTTAGCATGCTTGATATTTTGGGGGAAAAAAAAAAGTTTCCTTTGCAAGGGAAGGCATTGTTGGAGCCCCAATCAGCTGTGTGAGCTCTCGTTTCTTTTTAAAAAGATTTAAAATTTAATTGTTACAATTTAAGCTGGTCATCCATGGAGAAGAAAATGAAGTAAACGCCAAAATCAGTGTAGTGTCCTAGTTTTTAGAGTGGAGAAGGAATCCATTCCAAGCAGAAGAGACATATTTTCTACTGCGTATCTTTGCGTGTCTCAGCTTGGCTCTCTGGCCCGCATAGCCCCCACTTCTCCGTACGTTCATTTCTTCTAGGTTCTCTTGTTGCAAAGCTTGCTCCTCTGTTGAGAAAACTGGATTCAGTTCTCAGGATGGATTTCTCCTACACACAGATCTTCAGATGTGCCATGCCCGCTGCATGTAACACATGCCCTTGCTACCGTGCTATTGCAAACCACCATTTTAGGGTGCTACCAAAAATGCCTTGTGTTTTCAGGCATCAAATAAAAGTCAAATTAAACTGAGTGTTGTACGTGGCAAGAACATGGACTACTGTGCACTGACTGGCCTGTGGCCTGAGGTTTGTTTCCTTCCAGTGGTCATGCAGTCTTTGTTTCTTAGAAGAATCCAATAAAGCAGCAACTTGAAGAGAGAAAATAACTCAGAGACTTATCTCCTGCCTCTCTGGTTCTTCAGCTCTGCTTTATAACTGCTTTAATTTCACATGTATGACCTTTTGTATATATGCAGATAGAATTTGGATAGACTTGGTGGAAAAACCATTGTCTAGTGACAACTTTCAGTTAACTTTTTATCACAGACAGATCATTTTGGCATCAAAAAGAGGAGATGGCTCAGGTTTTGACCAGACTGGCACTAGTTATTTCTCTCACTAGATAATGACCCTGTGGTAATAGAGGAAAAGACACTAAAAGACTGTTACTTTGAATTCCATTCCCAAACAGGGATTAATATAGGATTACTGTCTCCAGCGCAGCATAACGGAACAGTGCTACACGCATACAATTCTTTTACTTGATCGTTATTCCTACAAGATCATATTGGGCTTAAGTTCACATGAAATGTCACAGGACAATTGCATAGCCAGAGTGTGAAGAGGTGGTTTGGCTTTTTTTTTCTGTTTAGTGCCAGGCTGTAAATTACATCTAATTGGCTGAAGAGCCACCTAGATAAGAATTAATTTGCTGGAGAACAAGCTACCTGGGAGACATGGCAAAGATTACATCTGGCTTCTTTCTACGGAAGCTGTTTCTGTTAATTCACACCTTGACTTGTGCTAGATCAATGACTTCTCTTAAAAGGCAGAACCGTTTTTCTTCATCCGGTTAGACTGAGACGGTCTTTAAAGATTTTGCTGCCGTGATTAATGCCTTTGCTTCCTGAGTGCTCTAAAATAGGATAGTAGCTGAAGGCAAGCTAGGAACTGAGAGTGTTTATCATTTCTGGAGTGTATAAATGCTAATGCTCAGTGCTGATGTTGAAACGGACATACTGGTTTCCACACAGTTCAAGCTACTGCCTTTGGCTCGTTGAACACGCCGCGGCTTGGGGTCCATCACCGTCTCCCTGTGACATGCTGTCTGGGTTGCAATACGGCAGAGGCGCCCAACCAGGAGGTTTTGTAGTTCGTAATAAAGGCATCTGCTGACAGTTAATTCACCATGAAAGAGGCTCTCGATTTTTAAACTCAACATTTAAAATAGTTGTTACCCTTTGATGGAGGGATGTTTTGGGGGGGGTTTTTTTGTTTTGCTTTGTTTTGGTTTTTTTGAGTACAGTGTCTGCCATAGCCACTCAAAATCTTTTTGTTTGTACTTGTGACTTCCAGCACTGGTGCTTTCAGATTCAGACAAAATATGCCATGTTATTAACGGAAGAGTTTTTTTCTCAGGGAACCGTAAGAAAGATGAGATGTACTAAAGATCTCATAACTATAGCAAAATTAAAAAAAAAAAAGGTGGCTGTTCAGGCCCTAGCGGAGGAACTTAGGTCACAGTGGATGAGCTCTGGACCACAAGTCCAAAATCTGCTTGCCCAGTGATTCGCAGAGATGCATTAATCTATATGATTCTAAGTAGCTCCTGGGATGCAAATGTAAAGCATGCATCTGTTTTCCTTAAACAATCTTGACATTAGCAGAATCACAATCTAACTTGTTTTCTCATGGGTGGTCAAAAAATCTGGCATTGGGAACAAGGCAAAAGTAAATCACTAACAGCATCATTTAATGTAGAAGATTTTAAATGAGGTCTATAATAAACAACACAGTGCCTACCTCAGAATCAGTCACTTTTTTCCTTACAACACCCAATTCTCTCTCACTTTTCTTCCCTGAGGGTAAGGAAGTCTATGTCAAACCCTAGAACCCACCTACAGTTAAAACTGAGGTGGAACGTAAAAAACACCAGAACTAATTCATAAGGTGTGTTGGTTGTCAGACAAGAAGCAACACGGGAAACAGCTACACTGCTTTCTGAAAGCAATTTAGCATTGGAGAAGAGCAGTGTCAACCACAAACTTCTCAAAAGAAATGACCAATATTTACTGAACTGATCTAATGTGATTGCCACGTGTGAGTGTATTTCAAAGAAGAATCTAGGGAAGCTGGCCAGCTAGGGTCTTTGAGCTGATCCCAATGAAATCAGCAGCACCGGTCTCCACTTGCAGTAGATTTGAATTTGGCCCTGTATTTTGAAGTCTAGAATGAGAAGTTTATGTGCTTAAAAGCAAGAATGCCCTTCCTCTGAACAGCCACAAGTTAAATCAGTGGTCCCAAATCTTTTAAGCAGTCATTCTTTTCACACCCAGCCTCGTGATCAAATTCTTGTGAAAATCACTATGAAAAGATAGTTCTGTAAACCAGAGAGCCTCCTTACCAGTGCCTTGGGAATCAGAACATTAATTATAAACAGCTGTAGACAGCTGAGCCGTTTAACATATGCACCTTTTTTTTTCATGGTAATATTTTCAAAAGAGATCTTTGATCTTCCTTACGTGCAGTATATGGTATAACCTAAGTTGCTTGTATATTTGGTGCCAGCAGACGGAGGAACGCCAGTGATGTACTACAGCGTGGACTTAGGTGTGTTGGCAAGTTCTCCAAGTCCCCAGGAGTATGCTGGGGAGTCGGGGGGCACGGGTGGAAAATGGAGTGTTAACACGCATCCTGTAGACTGTACCTGTTCAGACACCTATGCAGCTCTGGATTTACAGGCTCTGTTCTGTTTGTCTGTGCCCTTCCACCGTTTTCCTGAAGGGAATGAAGATGCAAACTTAACATAATTTTTTACCAGCCTACACAGCATCCATTTCTCTCCTTGCTGAAGTGAAAAATGTAATCTAATTTCTTCAGTTATTTTTTGAAGACTAATAGAAGTTCTCTCACAAAGTAGTAACTCCTTGTTTGTGGATCTGCAATAACTTCCCATACTCTCAACGCTTCTATCTTTGTCTCTGTAACCCTCCCTTCCATGACTTTGGTAAAAGTACAAGCAGGTAACGCTCCTAATGGAGCTGCTTTTCCCTCATGACAGTGTTGCAGTCAGCAACTGCAAAGTGTAAACAACAACTTAAGAACCTTCCATGTATCTCTTCATGTCTGGGTTAGAGTCCCTTGGCCGATGCTGTGTAATGGCTTTTTGCCTGCTGCTCTGAATTATGAACCACGCTATCAGCTTTATAATGCCCGTAAGTAACAACTTCTACAGCATGGTATCAATATGCATCTATGACTCCGCAGGCAGAGACTGTCGAAATGCACAGCTGCGGTCCTCAGCAGGCTGCACGGGTTTGGGGATTGACATACCTGCTTCTCCCCTGAGGAATTCCTCTACCTGGACATGCAAATATTTATTTTCATGCCAGGTGATTAACTTCGAATGCTTCTACAGTGCAGAAAAAAATTCACCTGTTGATGTTTCTGTCTTTGAGGTCTTAACAACTAGTTCTTTACTGTTTTTAACCAATTGTACTGTAAATACTGTACATATTTTTCATCAAACATTTCAATCCATATAAAAATATCCTGTTGAGATGAGAAAGCACTGTCCTTTTCCCTCTCCCAAAATGTAAGGATATCAGAAAAAAGAAAATGGCTGGCTATTCCTACCCCATTCTCGCCCTTGTATTCCTACTTTTCCCCTTCCCTCTCCTTCCTGAATACAGAAGATGCTCAAGTGCAAATATTGTATCATTTGCTGGGAAACCAGCTGCTGCTACATCAGAAATCGGACTTCTGCACAGTGGTGATTCATGTGAGAGTTGTGAATATATACAAAAGATTGTCTAAGCACAGACTGACAGCAAGACAGAGCTATGTGGTGTGCTAACTTCACAGCAGAAGATTTATTAGATCCATTTTAAAGCTTTTCTGCCTTCATCTACTAGGCTATAGCTGCCAGTGATTTTTCCCCTAGGCCCAGTGTTTCAAACTGTATCCATCTACAGTTACCACTGTCATTCCAAATAACCGACAAAAAATGAATAATTTCATGATAGAGTAGCATTTTACAACATGAGGTCTAAGAAGGGTCTGCATTTATACTGCCTGATGTAGACTGATGACACAACGAAAGGCAGGGGCTCCTTGCAAAAATTAATTGGATGAATTAATTTACAATTAACTTGTTTCAGGCAAAGAATTTATACAACATAAAAGCCAAGTTGCCGCATAAAATGAAAACCAAGTGAAAGTAAGTTCAGATATCACCAAGCAGCAACTTAATTAGATGAGATGTGCAAGCTAAGACTTCCAGGATATTTAGTGCTGAAGGGCTACATACAGCAGCTGCACTTCACAACTTTTAAAAGCTGCTTACACTGAGACATCTGTTTCTGTCCCACTCACAAAAAAATGTAGAAGTAGTTATTATGAGGAACCTTCACGTATCATGAAACTTGGTACTTACCTGCCATATCAATAGCAAAGGGCCTGTCAGCTCTCCAGCCAGTGTACCAGCCGACGACTTTGCCGTTTTCCACGACTGGGCGCTCATACCGTCGTCCTCCGACCAGTCCCACGGGCCATACCGAAACTTTGCGGGTTGTACGCATCTGCAAGAGGCAGGCACAGCGTGACTGCACGCACGGTTTCCTAGTAGGCTTTTTTGTAAGCGTTGGTGGAAAGCCTACACATTAATCATCAAGACTAGGTACTTAAAAGCAATTCTAGCTTACAGATTTCAGCCCAACAGAGTAAGTATTTGAAAGCTGCATGTGCCCACTCATTTTCTGTGAAATCTCCAGCTCTCTAGCCCATAGGTACCTCAATTCTACTGAAAATACCCTATTCATATTCTTTTTTTATAGAAAAAAAATCTAAAAGCCATGAAAAAATAGTACTTGTTTTCTTGTTTGTTTGGGTTTTCAAAGGTGTAGTAGATCTTTTTTTACCTGCAAGACTATAGCATAGCATTCTTGCAGTAGGCTTATTTCTGTAGATTGCTGAGGTATTGTACAAGCCCAGCGAGAGAGAATATTATAATAACGATTAACAAGTACACACTTCATTAAGACAAGTACAATTAGTTTGAGACTGGTAACAAATACACTGAGTACAGGAAATTGTGACACACAACTCTTCCCCAACCTGCAACGTACCAGGTTTGCACAACAGATGCAGCTCAGATCTATTAAAGGCTCACAAAAAAAGATTACGTTTCGGCTAAGCCTTTTTAACTTCTACATTTTCTCTTGGAAAGCTCTGCTGAGTTTCTAAGAAGGACAGAAAGCAGGCCGGGCAGGATGCTTCTGCTAGTTTGCTACCAGTAACGGGAGTTTTTCCCCAGTGGTCTAAAAGTAACTAAATGCAATTCTGGAAATGTGGTCCTCACCTAACCTAGAGGAATCTATAGACACTAAAAAATTACTCCTTCTTTAGCAAAAAGTGTGCATGACTGGGAGTCAGTGAATTCAGTTCACCGGTTAGTGGACATTTTCTTCAGTAAAGAGGCGATAATGTGACATGAACCCTGACACGCTACTCCCCACGGGAAAATCGCTGACGGTCTGGCGTGAGAACTTGAGAAGACGAGTGCACAGACACAGCAACTTGCACAATTTAACCACGCTGATTCAAAAGCCTCTGTGTGTGCGTTACTGTGCGTAAATATGGTCCTATTTAAGCAAGTATTAAACTATTTCAGTGTAACGTGGGCTTAATTTGATCGATTTTTAAAACAATCTTTTGTCTTCTGTTGTAGTTGAGGCCTATTCCTTAGGGAAAGGTTATCCCTTTCTCCTTCCAAGCACTCCTCTTAGCAAAAACAAACACAGTTTTACATATTTGTAACTGCAGACCGCTATCGATAGATGTTGAAGTAAAAGGCAACCTTGGTTAAATATTAAACGCTTGCCTCTCTTTCTGCCAAGGTGAAAGATTTATCATGCATATCCTCTAGACTCCCAGGAGATGCACCAGAAAAAACAAAGGCATCACATCACTCTGCTTCACATTTCTAAGCTAGAAACATTAGCAGATTCTTAGGAGAACTTTCACATAAGGAAGGCATAAAATACATATTTAAAAATCCACAAATATGTATGTACACACAGAAGAGACACATGCACCTTCTCTCCCTCCAATTCTTTGTGTGTCTAAAGACAAATTTAAAAAATTTTTTAGCAAAATTTCTCACTTCCACCCTAATAATGGTTGCAGCAAGTCAGACCATCTCACTCGGTAGCAGCAGTCCATACTGTGTAAAACAGGGTACGTATACAATTGGCAATATAGGGATTTCTTGTGATAAGGATTCTATCCAAACCATTGACTATTTAATTGCCAGTGAGAGACTGCCATGAATCTCTCTACAGGTTATTGTTAAATGTGTTTGTCTGTCGCTGTTCTCCCTGCTTAGGATTATTTTTCCAGTCTCTCCCACTCCTCCATTTAGGAAAGGCAGAGTTAGCAATTAACTATTTGGATATGGAAATCAGTCAAACCTCCTCATGAAGACCTTTTAGCTCTGGTTTTAATGACACATCCATTTGGCAACTTTTTCTAACAGTGTATTTATATTAACACCCAAACACATCAGACATGGACACAGGGCATCATCCTGTCGGGCTTGTCTACACAGGCAAGTTTGCAGTAGGTTTCCAAGGGCACGATCAAGCCACATACACCCAACAGTGCTACACCAGTACTGACCGCAGGACGGACACCGATGCCCACGAACTTTTTTGTGGCGCCATTAATACCTTCTGGAGGGTACAGATACCTGAACAAATTACTAGGGTACAGATTTACAGCACTTTAGCTACCCTGTGCCAAGTGCCTATATCCACGGTAAACATCATAAAATGCCGTGAGACGGGGGCAGGCACGCTGTAAATACAAGAGAGTGGCTAATGCGTGGTAAGCCCATACTCTGCCCTTTCTCACAGTAAGGATTTGGGCGGCTGTACTGCAAAACGAGCCAGATCACACGAGACTTCCGAATTGGGTCAGTAGCGGCCGCAGCATTTATGCTAGCAGAACCAGACTGATTTACATTAATACTTTATCATATACAATGTTAAGGAAAATCTTGTCAATGAAAAGTATCTCACTGACCTCATGAAACCAGCATGAAATGACCCAAGAAGTTTTAATTATTACAGTCTTGGGTCCACCTCGGTGCCTGTGAGTTAAGTCAGTAAAGCCACCACACATCAGAAGGAAGTAAGTAACCCTTTACAGAGCTCTTTATTTTGTCCTTGGGTTACGTTCTTTATTCTCACAGGTTACATTTTTGGAGAATGAAATAAACAGGAGTCAAGAATACAGCAATCCCTTTTGAGTAGAAACTGAAAGAGCACATCTAGACCGGTATTTATGCTAATTCTGAAATACCTTACAGCCTCAGGATATGCTAGGCAGATGAAAGTAGGAATATTTCTTTTAATCTTCTGAGAATAGCATTACTACAGTTAACATACTGATGTGTTAAGGCTGTATTTATGTATGATGGGGAGAAAGCTATTATTTGGATTAAAAGGCCAGCTTGCATCTGGAATTTGATGCTGCTAATCACTGGGACACAAAAAGGTGATTCAAAACCATGTTAATTCTAAATAGCTTTATTGCTGTGGGTTAAACAACTGCCAAAATCCTATAACTTACAAACAGCTTCCTAAATTACTCTTCTATCTGTCATTTTAATGTGCAGTAGCACACGCTGTCTTAATACTCAGCATTTTAAGTCCTAGTAGCTTACCTGAATGGTAATCATCTTACTTATGCTTAACTCTCTAAGTTAGGCATCTGGTCTATCCTAGTTAGATTTCTATAGTTAATGAACAGAGATAGGAACCCACTGACATGATTCATCCTGCCTGGCTTAGACAGCTATATTCAGGTAGGATGAACCTCCCTCTGGAAATGCTTTTGCCCTCTATTTACTTTTTGATTATTTGAAAGGGGGGTCTTGGGCATAGGAGAAGAGTAATGTACTGGATGGGGGAAGATGAGGAAAGGGCTCTGTAAGATGGCAGAACAAACCCGAATGAAGCAGGGGGGGACACAACTGGAAAGGAACAGGCAAGGAAGTGACAGGAGAGAGGAGTAACAACTGACCAAAGAAATCCCAGTGAGGTGATGGGCAGATAACAGTAAGTAGAGTAGCAATAGAGGAACCACTAAAGAATAACAAGTGAAAAAATGCAGAAAATTTAGCTGAGCAATAAAAGATAGTGATAAAAGCACTGCCAAAAATAGCATCTCATTAGTCAATCAAGAAAAGCTGCTTAATGGGATGCGTCGGACTGATGGATAGGGAAGATACCAAGCCAGGAACAAAATACAAAAGCCCAAGGGGAATGAAGGCAAATGACAGACAGAAGGAAACATGGCGACGCTTCCTACAGCGAAAAGGCTTCCAGACTGGAACAAACATCCTAGCGTTTTTGTAGCGTGATGTTGATGCGTTTCTCTTCGGGATTCAAAGCGCTCAGCAAATGCAAACCTGGCTGCCACACACAGTAAGCTTTTTTTCTCCCCCTGTTCTCTGTCATGTCAACCCCTGTGTAATTTGTGATCTGTACTGGTCAGGCTACAGGTTATTGTCCAGCCTTGCCCCCTCGCCCCATCCCAGCAAGACTCAAGAAGATTTCTATGGAAAATTCTGATTTATTATTACCAAAGATGGGATCTAGAGCTCCTTCACTACAACTCTTCCACGGGGGAAAATGTGACGGGTTAAAGCACGAGCACAGCCAGGTTCCCTATCAGTTCTCACACAGGCGTCCTGCATTACTCACAGGTCACGTAAAGCCAAATTCTGCTTCAACAAAACTTAGGTGAGTGCACCACAAGTCAGAGGGATAGCTCCGCTGCCGCGATGCTACGCCCGTTTACTTAGGCACTAAAAGGAGTTTCTGCCCCTACTTACCATTACTTCAAAGCCGGTACCAAGTCATAGAAAATCTATGCCAGTGGTTTTTGTGGTTCAGGGACTGTGATGCTGAGGGGACAGTAACTTCAAAAAGCAAGTTTGTTGTCAGTAAATTTGACTGTAAAGGGTATGTCTCCATGGGAAAACTTGTAGAAAGGGTCTACAAATCCAAAAAATTGTCAATCCTTGATCTAGCCTGCTCTGCAATCCTCACAGGTGATGTGATTTAGTGCTTCACCATCCTCACTATTAGAAAGCTTTTTTCCAAACATCTGCCTTAAACCTCCTCTGCTGATTCCTACCCAATCTACACCGCAGAGGGAGGATAGATTAATTCCCCCTTCTCTCAAGCAACATTTTACATATCAGATACAATGATTAATGCTTCTAAATTATACCAGCATCCTCGGGCACAAATGTCAATATTGCTTCCCTGCAGGAGAAAACTGTACTAAATTTAACTAAAGCACTTAGGAGCCAATTTCTCTGGATTGGGAAGGCTTCCAAAACATTTGCTATTCATGTTTCCTTTTGGCCCTTCTACTTACTAATGCTTTTTCTCATCCTACTTTCTGTTATTCTACTAAGTCGTGTTCACTGTACCTCTGACGACCTGCTGGCCATTCGTAATTAATTTCATAGCAACAGGATCAGTTTCACAGGTAAGAAAAAGATTGCTGACAAAGTGCAGAAACAGACAGTGCTTGGTACTTTGTAACCCCGAGTCCCTCACTTAGATAAATCTGTTTCAAATAGCTTTTTTGTCACCATTTCCTCTCATTTTTAAGCTATTTCATTGTTTCTCTACCAGACTTTTCTAATCCACCCTCTTTAGCATAGGTATTACATGTCTCCCTGCAAGGGGAATGTCAGTGTGCATTTAAAATCTGTCATGTATTCTTAAATCATTTATATACTAGAAAGGTATTTAATGCACTGCTAACTCTATTTAGATCCTTTTTTATTATGAAGAAAATAACTAATGACTGCCAGCTAATATTTAATTCTGTCTAGACTACTGAACGTTATTTTTAAGACTATAGCAAAAATTTGATTTTTCCAACCAGCTCTAAGAGATACAACAAAACATCTCTATGTTTTCAAAGATAAACAGATTCACTTATACTACTTTTATACCTTTTGCATAAATATATCCATTAAAAAAATACACAGAAGTTAGCTTAATTCACTGTATAAAGATTAGGACAGTTATGTAAAAGTTACTGAAGGAGCACTAACCCTTCCCTAGTCAAAGCTGGAAGAAATAGTAAACAGTCACCTCTTCTGTAATGTCTTTTTTGAGTTGCTCTCAAAATATTTTACAAATACAATAATGGGAAAACTGAAGCCTGTGTGACACGCAATGCCTGCAAGTATTTCTGTTCTATTTTTAATAATAAGGATTTATTTTTTCGGGCTACAGACTGTTAAAAGCCATTAGAATATCTGCCGCCTTCATACATACCTTTTGGGAGAGTGAAGGGCAGGGGCATAAGAAAAATGTTTTCAGCCTGAATCACTGACACAACTTGCCCTCTGCTCTACAGTGCCACTGTGAAAACTACCAGAGTTGGACGGCCTTAACCTTCAATGAGAAGGTCACGCCCATTAGCCAAGGTAAAACATTTCCTATTTTCCCTCTGTTCTTCATGAATCTTTGTACCCACCTGGCTGATTTGAGAATGATCCTACCTGGGCAATTTAGGCCACTACACAAGCAATTGCATACCTTCAAAATATTACGGAATTTTTGTTTAATTTGACGTTTAAGTTACTCCTGCAAAGAGCAATCCAGCTGACTGTCCTCTTCACTGATCACGTTCTTACCTTCTCTACCCAAGAGCTCCATGAATCTTGAGTTACGTGTAAAGACTACCTTAATGCCAGGAGACGGGGTTGAGCTCTCTCTCCTCCTATGTCCTTTCCAGCTTCAGTGGGCAAGAGAGCTAACTGCTAAGCTATTAAATACAAGTTTCAGGGTTTTTTTCCCCTTAGAAATGACAATTAATGCTGTGATTTACTTTGAACTCCATGCTGCAAGGCTGTATTCATATCACACCTTATAGCATGGGTTCCTCTAAGGAGACCCAGTCCTGCAAACCCTCAGCTTGCACTCAGACAAGATAGCGGTATATGCCATACTTGCATGCTCCAGGCACCTAGCAAATCTTGCTACGAGACTTTAGACAGCAATGACCAAAGGGCTAGGGGTGGCAGTGAAGGAGATCATAGTTTTAGATAGGAGCATTTTAATTTCACATACATCTCAGTTTAGGTGTCTGAACAAAATACAAGCAAAGGTGACAGCTAAACCTAGAGAGGAATCTCAAAAAATCAATGCGTTTCTGAATGCAGCGAGCTCACTTTCTCACACATGTTGAAGACCTTTACTCCTGTTCTTTGTACTCCTTAAGCAGCTCACCCCTCACCCTCAAAGGCTGCAGGGGAGTCTGCACAATCAACAGCAGAGTGGACCTCCAGCACTAATTCCTCCAACTTGCATACGTATCCATACAGGGACCAAGGAAGCGGTGGCCTTTGGCCAACTACCTGAAATACGGAAAGGGCAGAGAAAATGCCTGAGACATAGAAACACATGTATGATGTGAAGAGTTAAGGGAAGCGGAACTTAGCTATGTCTGTCTTTGGTTCCCAGTGCTTAGGCTAATCTTGTTTTTAAAATCTCTCTACGAAGGTGGAATGTCAGCTTTATCTAAGGTTGGTTTTTTTTTTTTTTTTCTGGAAGTCTAAAAATATGAAATTGGCAGTCACTAGGCATCAGTCACAATATTACAATAACTTGCAGTCAGGAATAAGATGAAGCACAAACGCAGCAGAAACTATAA